TATTATTTTCCAGTAAAATCCCTCCTACTTTAAGGGTAAGCCTTCTATACCTTCAGTTTCATCTAGAGAAGAAGCTGCCTTGGAGGATCCTCATTCTTTCTTGAGGAAACGGATAATAATGCGCTAATAACAACGAAATAATGACCCTCAGTAAAAATCACATTCGATTGACAGTCACTGCCATCCTCTGTCTCCCACTTTGTAGTTAACGCGAATGTTTTTATTGAGATCTCAGGGCAATATTACTTCTACATTTCTTTTTTTTTGTACTTTTTAGCAAAACATGTTTTTGAATTATCGTTAGCTCGAGAAACAAGTTTCTCCTCTAATACAAAATTACCTTCGTTGATACAGTCGACGCTCGATATAAAAAACTCGTTGGGATAGGCTAAAACATGTCTATATAAAAAAAAATTCCTTATAAAGTATTCCTCATATTTCGCATTCCCATATTTAAAAAGCGAATTTCCATTTATCTTCGAAGAAAAGAACTCGTTAACACGTTGACGACCAGCCTATTTTTGCTTGTCCGCCGCGTGGGACCACGCGCATTTTTTTTGTCAAAAAATGCGTCCTGCCATCAGGACGCATGGTCCCAGAAAACATTTTTTTTGCCGAGTTTTTTTTTAATGTTGAATTTTTTGGAATTTTTATCAGTAATTACGAAATCATAATCTTCTGGAACGTTCTCAACAGTNCTCATCCCTTTCATATTCAGGTAGATAACTTATTGAGTGGCCCTCGTATATTTCGCCTTTAAAACGATTTTGAAGCCAATTCAAAACGAATTGGACTTCACGGATCTTCCAGAAACCAAAACATGCTTTTTGCCTCTTATGAACATTTTACTTTCGCACTTTTGGTGCATTCTAATTCTGATCGACAGATATCGACAGTTCTTACTCTGAATCTGACTGATATTAACGCCAACCTTTTTTATATAGATATAAGAATCCCACTCACTTCTTTGATTTTTTACATTTTCATTCAGTACACCGCTGAGTTTCGAGTAAAAATCCTTTTTTCTTTTCACTTCCTTTCTCCTTCCTAGGTCTAATTTCCCGTTCACATGATTGGAACAATAAATAATACCGGTATTCAATCATTTCTGCTGCCATCGAAGTAAGCCAACCCTAACACACAGGAAAATCGTTTGAGAAGCGGTGGAAAGGCACGAGGAGCCGCTCGATCGATTCACCCCCCCCGATTCATTTGATGGATTCCTCCAGCCCCCATACCCTCTTCCGGAGACCGCCGGTGAAGACTCATAAGCCTTTCCCACACTTCCTGGAAATAGGAGATCCGGATCCATTCGCGCTCGATGGTCTTTCCGCTTCCGATGGGAATTATTGCATTTCGCGTCTCTCTGGCAAGGGGGAGAAGAATTTGAATTTCAATAGAACTTTATGTAAAAGTAATACTGATGCGATTTTGTCAGGGGAAATTCCATTCCTAACGAAATGAAATCCGATCACTGCCCTTCACATCGCAGGAGAGCACCAATAAGGATTCATAAATAAAAAACGATTACGGCGAGCTGCGGCGTGATGGACTGAAGGAACAATCACATCGGTGAGAAATATGCACGTACACGTACTATAGCGAAAACAAGCGAAGCAGTGCCCGTACAAAACGTAACCTCCTCATTCACCTACAGTATATTTAACCGCTTTTTCGCCTGATCTTTACCTGAGGGATCTTCAGACAGGTTGAGAGAGGGGAAAAAACGGGGGAAAAGAGGGGAATCCATGAATTTGAAGCTCAGGGGATACGGCTCCTCCGCAAGCAGGATCTTGAAAAGAGATAAGACTCAAAGGTAAAATTCCGGTTAACCCATAGGAAAGTTCCCCCTCGCACCTTCGCGCTCGTCTTTGTTATCCTTTTAAGACGCGTTGGAAATATCAATACTTTATTCGCCATATCGCTCGGTATCATGACAGCAAGTCAGTCTCGGTTCGTGTCAGTGGTTCGGCTCTTTCTCAAAAATGTTCTTTGTGTTGTGATGTGACTTGGTTCCTTTGACGTTGGGCTAAACTTATCTCAGGGTCTGTGAACTTTCCGACTATTCAACTCGGAATAGTCTAGTGTAAAAGTGCATTCAGAATTCTGAGACTAATGATCAGACGGACAAGTCGCGAGCTTAGAAATAAATGTTGCCGACTATTTCACGATGTGATTCTCTTGTGCAAGTCATGTTGATCACAACACCCATGTGGGTGTTGTGATTAACATATTTTAATCATAGTCTCAGTGTTAATGTTACACCTATCATATGAGGTGACAAATACATCAATATTTTTTAAATAAGAGGTAAGTCTGGGGAAAGGGATATTCTGTAGGTAACGAAAGGTAAAAGAGAGGTAAAAGAGAGGTAAATTGGGAGTAGGGGAGCGGCACCAGTTCGCGAGCAGGGAGCCAGTTAGCGAACGAGGGTTATGAAATGCAATTTGGCCTTTTGTTACTCTAGTTTCACTCTCCATCCCAAGCATTAATTAATCAATCAATCCATTTTCTGCAGATACCAAAAGCTGAAGCGTGTAACTCGAGAAACAAAAGACCAAATCGCATTTCATGACCCTCGTTCGCTAACTGGATCCCTGTTCGCGAGCTGGTGCCGCTCCCCTAGAGGTGACACACTGAGGTAAAATGAAGGTAAAAGAGCGGTAAAATTCGAACGGTGAAACTGAGGTAAAAAATCGGGGAAAAATCACCGTCCGATTTTTACCTCAGGTAAAAAATTTTTGTAAGGGTGAAACTGAAGTTTTCGTGATTTTTTAGGTGTGGAAAGGAATGAGAGAAGAGCCGCCGATTTAGACAGAATCACAAGGAGAGATGATCTGAGCAAAAGGAATCCATCCGAAAAGTTTTATACATTCAGAAAACATGCATAACAATATTGTTAGAGCAGAACAGACGTGATATTTCGAAGAAGAAAAAAGAGCAGTTTCCCGTTTCATGGAGTACAGGATTGTCATGCATCGAAGAAACATAAGATATCAACATCGTACTTAGAAGAAGGTTAATATTAGGCAGATTTTCAGAGATTAGAGGGGCATGGCAAGGGACATGAATCCGAGAAAACAGCACGACGAAAATATAAATGATAAGGAGACAATTTAGAAAGTGCTCGAAAATTCTTTTAATCATTCCGACAGGGAATATTAATTCTCCTGGAAGAATTTACTCATTTTGACGGAAAGTACATCAATATCATGTCCACGGATCGTCGCAAAGCCCGTTGCGCTTCGGAATGTCGAAAGAAAAAATGTCGCCAAGAAACTCGTCGAAGGCAAAAAATTTCGATGGAGAAAATGTGGAAATACGGTACTATCGATAGGAGAAAAAGCCGATGGAGTAAAATGTCGAAGGGGACTTTTATTATATTCATTAGGTGCGAACACTTAAATTCAACGTTTTCCGGAGCAACATGGATTTCGGGAAAACAATTGTCAAAATAATTATTGTCGAATGTAATATTTTCCGTTGACACTCCAGTGGATGATGTTTCTTTTAGAGATAATCGAAAGTCGGCTATGATAGCACCGATTGACAAGGAGCCTGATCAAGATCGCGACTGGAAGGTTCCTTTAGCAACTGTTTCCCTTGTTTGATGGCAAGAACTTTGCAAAAGCGGCCCCGACATCTCAATTAAAAAATATGTCTCTCGATGCCTTCTCCCTCTCTAAGGGATTCCTCGTGAAGAAGGATCATCTTCTTACCTTGGGACTCGACGAATTTCAGATTTGAGTTCTCAGAATGGCTTCCTTGATGGATCCACGGTTGCATTTAATGGGTTAAAATAATCTAGAAGGACATCACCAAGCTGCTAGCCAATGCTTCCCGAGGGAGACGAAGCAAAGAAGGCCGAAGGTGAAAGCGATCTCACGACCTTCCAGATATCTGAAATATTCGCAGACGTTCGAAGCGTTCCACCGGTCCCATCATTTCGAGGAGCATATAGTTCAGCAAAGTCATGCTTGCGCAGTCCCATAGGATGATCGATCTGTTAATCGCCTATTTCGACTTTCGACATGACTTGACATTTCCTCTTCGTCGACGTCTCAGAATTCTGACTCCATTCAATTCGACATTAAGCAATAGCGAGATTTTTATTACATCTACATTCTTGCTCTTCGACGATTGCTACCCTTCTGCGCTTCCGCATTCGACGTACAACAATTTATTTAAATAAAAACAAATTGGCCTTAGTAAATGATTCCTGTCTCGAAAAGGTTCTCTGTTGAAATCCAATAATTCTCATGCGAAAAAAAAACCATAAGCGGTTGAAAAAAAAAAATATTTCCAAGGACTGTACCAATGGCCACATTTGGCCGGTAGGCCGATGGCCGATTTTCATCTCATAACCATCGGCCGGTGCCGGAGTCGATTGTGGTCTGTAGATTGAGGAAAACGTGAAATCATTTACACTGGTTTCCAAAATCTAAGGAACAAATAGATTTTCCCGAGTTCCACAACACCCCCTTTCATGAAAATGGTCGAAACAAACAGGAATATGCAAATTAACGATGCTATGTTGCCATAACACATGGAACGTGGTGGAGATCGCCAGCTGATATGCAAATCACATGTCTTTAAAAGACGGCTGCTCTGAGAGGGGGTAGCGCAGTTCACGTTTGGATGGCAAGCAGTTAATTTCAAGATAGCCGAATCCTGAAAATGATCGAAAGGAACCATCTAACAGAGCCATTGAGATGGCGCGTCATTGCGCCTTCCGGATCGCAATAGTGTGCGAGGATCGTCCGGCCTACATGTTCGTCGTATCACGGATTTTCAATGTGTTCCTTGAGTTTTGGAAACCAGTGTATAGTACATTCAAAAGTTTTTTTTAGAGAGATGTCACTGTAGTACATATTACTTCCCATACTTGGGGTAACAATGGCCCTATGGTTTAGCCCACTTTACTCCCTTCAACATCATGTCAACGCGTCGGAATAGTGGGAAATCTTTGACCCTTCAAGAACAGCAGGCCATCCTGAATATGCAAAAAGAGGGGAGGATAATTCCCGACACAGAGCGGATTTTGATGGTCAGCCCGGCGTCAGTTCCTAACGTTCGGAAGAGAAAACAAGCGAAGGTGATGGAGAAGAGGGGACCGAAGAGGATCCGGTTTTCGGCTATGGATTCCTTCGACATTGATGTCATACGTCGGGAAGTATATGCGATGTACGCAGAGACCGAATGCCCGACCCGTGATTCCATACTTGCACGGCTCAAGAAGGAAGGCGAGGATGGGGAAAATTTTCATTTCCCATATGGAAGAACGTCTCTCCAACATATTTTATGGCAGGAATTGGGTTTCAAGGTTAAAAAGTTTGATCGGAAAGAGATGGTGATGTTGAAACCTCATGTTCAAGCTGCCTTGTCAGTGTTCTTGAACCAATATGCAGAAATAATGCTGGATAGATATTCTATTTTTCATATGCAGACCTATTTCACTCGCAAACCAATTAGTTTATATATCGCCAATGATACCACATATCAAAGAGTATCATTGAGTACAGAGTATCAGAATAGACTACTGGCAGTTTCCCATTGTTTATCGAAGTCTCTCTTCAAAAGCTGCTGTTGTTTTCTTCATGCAATAGGGGACACTTCTTGAGGAACATAGCACACCTACCAGAAGACGGATACAATGCAATCTATTTGGACGAAACCTGGTAATTTGCCTTCATGTTTCAACGAATTTGCGGTTCATCAATGAATAACTAACCCAATTCACATGAACATGTAGTGTGAAGCAATTTTCTATTAAACAAACTTTCAGGTACGATACTCATGACCTTGTGAGGAAAGGCTGGAGCGACGGGTCAAGGGAATGCCTCCTCAGCCATCCCCAAAGTCGAGGGAAGAAAATTATCATTCTCCATACCGGGTCGGCAGCTGGATGGCTCCCCAACACTCTACTTTTGTCATCGTGGAATATTACAGAGTCAGGAGCTGATTGCCACTCGGACATGAATTCCTCCCTGTTTGAGATTTGGGTGAAGAAGATGCTTCTAGAAAATCTGCAGGGAGACTGTGTTGTAGTGATGGATAATGCCCCATACCATCCTCGGTAAGACAAAATACTACGTCTTCGGGTCTGAAATTCTTGCGTTGGTTCTGTGCGACTATGATACCATGGTTGCTAGTGTCATTCAGGAGGATAGATGGGATACCTACCAAATCATCAAGCAGAAGTGACATCATGAAATTCCTTGGAGAACATGACGTCATCGTACTTGAGGATCAGTGGATGAAGGTGGTTGGAATCAAGCCAACAAAGGCAATGCTTCTTGACGTATGGCCCAATGAAAATCAACTCTTCTCAGGCATGCTAACCAGCTGGAAAAACACAATGTGTGTTTTTTATTTTTTATTTCACGCAGATTGCACGACGGGTCATGTTGCACAGGGGACTTAAGGAATATGCAGTGGATACAGCGGTTCCAGCAGCAGGCATCAATAGACGTCTCTGCGTGCTTCGTTTACCGCCATATCACTGTGTCCTCAATCCCATAGAATTGGTGTGGGCAAAGTTCAAAGGAGATCTGAGGAAGCGTAACATTGAACCCCAGAGTTCTCGCAGCGTCCTCCAGCTAATAAGAGAAGTCTGTGGGGACATGCCTCCCAATCTCTGGGAACATTGTGTCAACCACTGCAAAGAGCTAGAGAAAACTCTCTCAAAATCTATTTCCAAAATTCAAGACCCTGTGATCGTCACGTTGAATGATTATGATGGGGACTTGATATCCTCTGCATGACCAATTAGGGCTCCTTGTTTATTTTGAGAGAAAAATCCCTGATTCAACATATGTATTACGTTACATGACCTTTTCATGTCGAATTTCGACAGAACTCTTTTACGGTGAATATTCCAAGCAAATGATCTCTATGTAAAGGGGAAAGGAGAGGCGTACCAGTTGAGTAGATTAGTGGAGTGAAAGAATCCCAGGCTCAAGCACGGTAATGATATATATTTTCAGTGATGGAATAAATATTCAAGAGTGTAATTCCGATGAGGATTTGCACCTGTTGTGCAATGAATGACGCCAGAACTTTCTCTCCTACACCCAGATGTTGGTTAAAGTTTAAATTTAAATTAAGTCTTGCTGTGAAGCAAGGGCATATTGGCCACTCTCTATAGCCAAATTGGTCTGCAGATTCAGCGGGATTTGCAGATCCATGTCAACCCATCTATCCACCACGTCAATAGCTCCCTCCATAAATTCACTCGGATTCATTCAATTGTTCGAAGGCAACAGCCTGAGACATGAGAAGCACCCAAGGATGACGATGGATGATTCCCGCTGAAATGCTTGGGATTGACAATGTCATGCTTCCTGAATGTCTTGCAAGGGAGCCACTTTGATCGTGAAAATCGACGAAGCATTTTTTTTTTTAGGTCTTGGCAGGATTCAGAAGCCGGATGCTTTCATATGGCCAGCAATTTTGCGTTCTTCCAAGCTGAGATATGATGACAGTAGGGAGAACACTGGGATCATCCTTAATGCGATTATCGCCTCATGTATGGGTAGTCTTATATACTTCAGTGACATTTCTCTAAAAAACTTTTGGATGTACATATATCAAATAGGCCTATTTGGCAGCCATGTGATACTTATCAGTGGCCTCCTCCTTGAAACAATAGACACCACTTTCAGGCCTGTCCAGCCCATCTGTCTATGTATGTGTTCGTCAGTGGTTAGCTTGTTATCTAATGCTCCTCTTTAAGGGTGTTCAACGACACATTTCTCGCAAAAGCATGACAGGAAAGGAGATGCAATGGTTTCCCGTTCTTTTGTCGCTATTTTCCTCCTCCGGTTCCTCGACTAGGGCTGAAATACTCTATAATCCGATCGATATTTTTCAGTGAGACATGAGAGACGGCGTCAAGCCGCGTTCACACATTGGCGATTTTGTTTTTGTTTTTTTTTTTTTTTCATTTTGCCCCTACTTTGGGCACCGGCATCGGCAATTTGCAACTCTGCCGATGGTGCAACACCGGCAGCCGATATCGGTGATTGCCGGTACATCAGTACAATCCTAATCTTTTCAAATGTAAAATCAGTTCAGCCGCGTATAATGTATTATCAGAAATATGATTGAGTTTTCATTAGGTTATTGCACAAAAGTCACTACAGATTGAGAAGTTATTCTCATTGGATACAACCCAAAACCACGAATCGTGAGACCGAGACGAAGATCCTCTGCGTATTTCTGGGCGATTGGCCGAGGCATCTTGGAATTAAATATTTGACTTCGCCAGGATAGAAAAGAGAAAACTTTCAGATAATAAGGAAACATTGGATACAGTAGCGTGGATTTCGTGTAGGACACATTCATGTCACTGGTAATAAGAAAAACCAACTCATTTCCTCCTGATGCGAATGAGGGGATCATCATCAACATCGGGATTATCAAGGGATTCCTCGACTTGTTTGGATTCCGACAGAACGTAAGGACAAAGGGATTAATTAAGCTTACTCCTACGGAGTGGTCCGCAATGCTTGCTGCCACCCCCCCCCCCCCCCCCCCCTCCCCCCAAAAAAAAGATGTTAATGCGCTCAATAGGCTCAATGTGAGACTTCTACGTAGTGCCCCTAAAGACGATTATTTGGATTGCAGATTGCAAGATCATTGCAGATCAAACGCCCTCAGTGCAGTACAATGCTCCTCCCCCGCAAGTTCCCGAAGATGAATGGAAGATCGCGATCACTTCCTGGAATTTTACGTTGATGACAGGCGAAGCGTGGACTTACCCCGCCTCCCCCGTCGAGCAATGAGAACGTCCTGGAAGCGTCGATCGTCCGAGATGATTCGGAGGAGGGATGGAGTCGCTGGTTCGCATCCCTCTCGCCGTCGAATCGTCCAGATTTGTGGGTATTCTTGGAATTCCTCCGCTAGGAGGATCATGCCGGAACGGAAAAGGGAATTATTCATGGGCTGTGAACAGAAATCCCGGCGGAGGAAAGAGAAACCGGGGGGAGCGCAAGATTCAAATTGCTTTCATGTATCCAGATTTTCTATAGACTTTGTAGACATGTCCAACGCAATAGAAAAAATACAAACGCTCTCTGTAATTTAAAAGCTTTAAACAGGAAATCGTCCTTGGCCTCCTTGGAAATTTCTTCTTTTCATCTAATATCAGGGCATGAAGAAGAACGGTCTCCTTGTCTGTAATACAGTACAGGGGAAAGAAAGAGCTTTCTAAAGAGGCCACGGAAGTAAGATTTCCTGAATAAAGTTGGTAAATTTCAGGTTGTATTTAGAGAGTATGGACTTGCTCTTAAGCATAGCATATAATCTATTGTGCACAATCTTGAATCCGTCGTCCTTTCGACTCGAGAAAGAGACAGGCAATCCGTGACCTAATTTGACGCTTTTGCGATTAGAATTTTGTTTCTCTCCTTCAGTTTGCTCGAGATCCTATAGAGCTTTCGCTAAGTCAAGACACAACTGAATCACTACGTACTTGCAACACAGATCACGCAAGCACAGAAACGTGGAAGATTTACTCTTTGAAACGAAGTCATTGCACAATGTTGAAAACAATGTGTGTTTCTTCAAGTTTTCAGCGTTTCATGTTGCGCGGTAAGTCCGTAATAATCCAAGTGAGTATCCGGACTTTAGGAACACCCTGTAGTTCATTCGAGGTTTCGTGTTCATTTCCTTTGTCGTGCTGTTTTTATCCCTCCACGAGGTTTACGTGTATTGTTGTATGGCTATTGTTCGACGGATTGCCCGTGAAGAAGGTTCAACTTGCACGACGAAAGAATGAGTAGCTGCTTCTTTGGTTTTCATTTAATTTAACCCTACATTGACAAAGGTGTTTAGCCTATCTCCTGTTCAAGGCAGGATTCAGTGTTTTTAGCATCCAAATGATCACAATTCAATACAAAAACAAAGTAACTAGGGCTTGGAGCCGTTCCGCAAGCTAGTCACGACCCAAACGCGACATCACTCAGCTTTACTTAGCATTTCTCAGTCATCCATCGCAGTCGAATCCACGGATGGTCAGGCAAGAGTCATTGCATAAGCATGTCATCCATTGCAGTCGAAGCAAAATGGCAACGTACGTGCTCGGAGAGATGTTGAGCTTGTCAATCCAGACGGCATTCTCGTTCCCCTATCAGATCGGAACCGTGGCCTCGGAAATGCAGGAAGCTGCCGTTGCAATCTCTTTCAAAGCATTCCAAGTCGCCAACACTCGATGTCAAAATATTACACCGTGAGTCTCTCTTGCATATGGCTGTCAAGAGTCAAATAGCACTTAGGTACTTAGGTTCGGGTTGGTGAGCCAGTTGATGGTATTTTCAGTCGCGGAGTGTAGTTCTCCGTCGAAAGATCGAGTAGGGTAGTGGCTCAATAGTCCATGGATTGCGTTGGGGCTCCACAGTCAAAGGCAGGACTTGCTTTTAGTTTCTACTTGTGCATGAGGAATGCACTTCTTCCGCGAGATGTTCTCAGGTGGTTCAAGGAGGAACACCGTGACTCACTGAGGGAAATCGATACGATGACCTTTGAGGTCTTCGAGGCTTGAAATGTGCCAGGGAATCTGGAGCAAACACTAAATAATGTGGAGTCTTAAATCCGTCTTCCCCAGAAGCGAGAGGACCGGGTACTCTAAGACAACTATTTCCGATGTCCTATGGCGATTGAAACTAACCATTTGAGTTTCTTCGTTGCCTTATCGAAAAACGATCACCTCTCTTCGAAAGAAAAGCCTCGGCTCCCTTCAGCGGTGTACCACTACAATGAAAAAATCTCCTCGAACAACATCCTAGTCGTGTCCAGGGGCTTCAGCAGGTCTAAACACCGTAGGACCACTATGCGGTCCTCTCGCAATATGCCACAGTGCTTATCGAATGAATTCAGAGAGTGACATCTGTTTTTCCTCTCATAAACAGCTAAATTATCCACATTTGCGATCCCAACCATCATAGACCAGAACGATACCGTGAAGGAGCTTCGCAAACTTGACATAATGCAGCTAATCAGAACAAGCGGGAACTAGCACTGCTTGAACAAAGTTCGAACGAAGTGAACCTTGAGGAATGTCAGAGCACAGAAGTAAAAACGAAATCGTCACCTTGTCATCGACGCAATCACGAAATCAGTCATATACTGTATAACTCTGAAGCATTTTTATTTTGACCTTACAATTTTATCATCCATGGAAAGACCATCCTGGAAAAAAAAATTCACAACTCTCAATATTTCGGAAATCTGAAGATGAGTAATACTCGTTAACTCGAAATTTTTGGGACCGGAAAAATCGTTTCCAGTTATTCGAAGTTCGAGTTATCAGGAATTGCCCCCCCCCCCCCCCCTCCATGAAAAAAATCCTCACGTTAGGGGATATAACCAGAGGGCGATTTTTCCATCCTCAAAAATTATATTTCACGGAGCGATGACCTTCCCATTATAATTGGCTTTTATTCATTACGAGGGAAACTTTGATTATCCATATACAAAATTAATTTATTACAAGCCTTTTATCCGGGGCTCTTTGGGTTTTACCCATTTCTGATATGTAATCAGGGATCTTCATTTGCTTTTTAAAGGAACTAGCAACGAGAAGTGGAAATCCTCCTATTTGCCAATCGCCTCGAACAGGTCGACTGGCACTTCCCCTCGTGAGAGGAGGAATTTTCTCACAATTGACAGTGCTTTATTGGCATCGCTCAAAGATGGCGGTAGAGCATTGAGCCTTCTTCGACAGTCCGAATCAAGTGCACCTTCTCTTCGAGCGCCTGAGTTTTCAGTTTCCTCTCGAGTGGGCTCATTCCACACCAACGGCTTAAAAGAAATAGAATATGACTTGATTGGCTCCAAGTAAGAGCGATAGACAGACAGAGAATGCTGGATGTTGCTTCTTTCCGAAGTTTTCGGTTTTAATCCTCAAGTTTAATCCTCTCCACAGGCGTCTGTGTGGGAGGAG